CTTGTTCGTGGGAATATTATTTATCGTATGTGTGATTTCTTCTGCTGGTTCTTCCCCCTCGTTCTCTTCAACTGTTATCTGTCGAACTTGTTGTTGGTCTCTCCATTGATTACTGTTTTGCCCTGGTTGGTTGAAGTTTCTATTATTTTCTGCATTTTGTGTATTACCATTTTGGTTTTCCCGCCATCTACCATATTGCTGATTGGTGTTGTTTGGTCGGTTATAACCATTGTTATGACGTGAGTTATTGTCATTAGTGTTCCGTGGATTGTTGCTATGGCGTTGATTATTGTCATTGCCGTTCCGTGGATTGCTGTCTCTCGTTGGTACCCTCCTTCGATGTTCTTCGGCTCCGAGGACCTTCATCGAATTTAATATTGTTTTTTGTGGTAGAGAGGTCAGTATTGCCCTTAAGTACCCGGGGTAGTGTCCGGCAATGTTTTGTACAATTTCACCCTCGCTAAGGTATGGCATTTCCAAGTGTCGGAGGTTCGTGGCCCAGTACATGAAGTGTTCCCGATATTTTACGTCAGCCGCGATTTGTGTGACGTTTAGGCATTGGCTCCAGACCTGGATCTGAATCTCTTTGGACCAGTATTCATCGATAAATACTCTTTCGAATTCTTCGTAATTCCTGAGTTGGAACCTTATTGCCAAAAACCAACTGCCCGCGGTGCTTTTCAAACAGTCTTTTACCACAATCAGCTTTTCTTCATCGTAAATCTGTTTTATTGCAAAATATTCCCGTAGTTCACTTATGAAATCTCTTGGGTGTTGGTCCCGACGATTTCCGTAAAACGTGGGTTTTGTGATGTCGGTGGCTTGTCTTTGAGGCCGACAGTTTTCTTCTCTGAGTTGCGTTTGTCTTGTTTCATCCAAGTTGCGAAACGTATTTAAATATCTTTCTTCCATCTCGTCCATGTACCTTTGATATCTGATTTCATTGTCTTCCGTCTTTTTCTTATAGATTTCTTCCCATCTCTGTTTTAGTTTTTCTATTTCTTCTTCCATATTTTCTTTAGCTTTTCTCGCTCTTTCTTCGTTCTTTTTTTCTGTTTCTTCCAGTTTGTTATCGTATTTTCTTTTTATTTCCTCGGTTTTTTCATTGTATTTTTCTTTCATTTCCTCGATTTTTTCATCGTATTTTCCTTTCATTTTATTCTCCAGATTTTTTATTCTGTTTTCAACAGATTTTTCTAATGCTTCAATTCTGTCCATAATATTTTCTTCGTTGTTATCAAGTCTCTTTTTCGGAGCCATGTTGATTTATAGATGTAGTTTTTTAGTAGGTAGAGCACGATATTCTTAGTGGTAGTCGTGAAAATTCGAGCTTCGCGTTGGGCGCCAAATGTAATGAACGGAACACATATTCATTAAGGTTAATATCATTTATTGTATTGACGTAAACAAATTCATAAAACAAAATACAATATAGAACATAGAATATAATATACACGTAGTAATACGAATTTAATTATCCCGGATGTCCGATTACGGGTAAAATCAAGATAGGAATATAATTCAAATATAATAATTATAACAAGTAAAATTTTATACAAACAAAATATAACTTCGGTACGTTTTAGTATAATTGGAAATAACAATAAAAATCCGACTTACAGTTTTTGCAGCAGTAGCCAATATATTCACCTTCAACGGCACCCTAACAATTTACTACTTGCTTCTTAGAGCGATAAGAGAGTGTAAATTACTAGACTCCTTTCACATCGACCAAATCGCGTATCGTAGTATAACGATCGACAGTACGGGGTATTAATGCCGTACCCGGACTGTTACACTACGCCGTTTGATATGGTTGGAAAGTAAGGAGTCTTATAGGCGTATACGGACGCAGAAAAAAGAGAGTTACGACTACTGGTGGGAATAGGCACGGTACCAGGCAGTCGGACAGTAAGGGGTTTTACAGCCTTACCCACGACTCTGGACGGTGGTGTCTATTCCTACCAGTATTTTGGTCGGAAAAACGGAATCGGTGAGCCGGCCGTCGGGCCTTCCTATATGTGCTGTTGCGCTTATTCCCGATTGTCAGCCTAGCGAATGACAACATACCCGTTTCGATGCCGCTGAGGGTTTTCCGGGTCGATAGGGGTTTGGATGTACATAGGAATCTGTTCAGAATGTATGCCCTTACTAGTTTGCTATCATTAATCCCCCCTGGAGGGACCAATTGTATCCTTAATCAGCGATCCACAGTCGGATCTATGATGAGTTGTCCTTGAGCGCGATCTACCGTTAGTCCGCGAGCGAAATGTCGTATCGGTACTCGGGCGCGCAGTATTGGTGGCGCGGACTAGCGGAGAAAGGAGTGGTCCGTACATTCAGAATCGTTACAAGGCGCGTACACACGAGCGAACAAAAATAACGAATGCTCACGAACGTTCGTGTGCGACCCACCATGCGACCGTGTAGACGACGTTCGCGAGCATTCGCGAGCGTTCGAAAACGTTCACTGAATAGGTCGAATAGACTCGCACGACGAGCCGATCACTGTCGGTTTTTCAGTTATGTTCAAAGGAACACCGCGAGCATTCGTGTCACCGTTTGGACGGTATATTAATTAATTCAAACGTGCGTTATAAAATAATAAATAAATAAGTACTTAACTTACACTTTTTTATTATCTATTTGAAAATGGATTGGGATAGCAAAGATTGCTTGAATTTAATTGAAGCATTTAGATTGCAAGAAGTGTTGTGGGACTCGAAAAACCCATCATATTTTTCAAAAAATGCCAAACATGATGCTTGGTGTCATTTGGCAAAAGAAATGAAAAGACCGGTTGAGGAAATTAAAAAAAAAATATTAAGCTTACAGGGATCATATCGTAGAGAAAAAGCAAAAGTAAAAAAAAGTTATGGAACTGGAAAAGGTAAATATTAAAAATTAATAATTAATAATAATTAGAATGAACATTTAGAAATTAAGTACCTACGACCTACCTACTTATAATATTATTTTTAAAAGGTGCCAACGACATATATCACTCAAAATGGTTTGGTTTCGACGCCATGCATTGTTTTTTAGCTGATAGAGATGATCCAATGCCGACTATAAATTCTGTAAATGTGAGTTTTAATAACTATGTCATGATTATATTTTTATATAATATAATAATAATATATAATTAATTATTTATAACTTAGCTGGAGTGTGTTTAGAGTTTTTATTTTTAGACTTTAGGGGACTAATAAAAATAACGTTAGGGTATTACTCGGCAAGAAATACTGTTATTTATAAATACATTGTATAGAAATAAACTACGTATAATTTTCAAATACTTTAATAAATTATTACATAAATTAGAATGAATAATGAAATAGTATTGTAGGTACTCAATTAGTCATTAAAGTAAAATTTTAAATATTTTGCCATTGTACACTGCCATTTGTAAGAAAGTAATCAGCAAAATGTTCCCTTATTTCTTGCGCTTGAAGTGGTGGTCTACGAGCGATATTTCTTAAGGGTAGTAAAGAAGTTGTAGTACTTCCAGACTCCCTCCAATCACCCCGTATCATGTGGCCTTCCTCTTCTCTATCAAACGATCCAGGTGGGGTATAGATGTTTCTTGACGATTTACTACGTCTTAAAAAATTATGTAAGTAAACAACTTCCATAACCACAATTTGAGCTTTTTGAGGTTCCAATAACATTGGTTTTCTTAGAACACGAAAGACGGCAGATGAGATGCCAAATGCGTTCTCAACAGTTCGTCGAGCACGACTTAACCGGTAATTAAATATTCTTTCTTTTGTACCTTTATCATGGGTTCCAGAATACGGTTTCATAATATGTTTTGTAAGGGCAAAAGCCTCATCTGCAAGAAAAATGAAAGGTATATCTACATTTTTCCCTGGCAAAGGTACTGGTGAGGGCAAGTTTAATTTCTCCCTTTCTATTTTTTTGTGTAATTCAGTATTTTTGAACACTCCTCCATCCGAAATACGTCCTTGACGTATTGTATATCGATAAACAGAAAATTGTAGTCTGCGTCGACTAATGCAAACAATACAATGCTAAAAAATGATTTATAGTTAAAATATTCGCTGCCGCTGTTCATTGGAGATTGCAAGACGATGTGCTTTCCATCCATAGAACCAATGCAATTCGGATAATTCCATGTTGTTTCAAATTGTCTTGAAATATCAAGCCACTCATTTGACGTGGAAGGCATCTATATTAAAATAGTGTTTTATTAATTTACCTATATACTATAACACTTATAAAAGTAAAAACTACATAATATGAATATATGATACACGATTAGTGATGTTCACATAATAGTATTTTGTTGTTTTTTCTGTATTATACCTTATATTATACGTGTATTATTTAGAGTTAGAAATTCATAAAAAAATTTCTTTTTAAATCTAAGATTTTAAAATGTAACACAAGATTTAAAATAAGTTTTTCTACTTTTATCAAAAATAAAATGTATAAAAGCAAGTAAAAATAAATTTTTATGAGCATTTTAAGTTCATAATTTTACAACATTATCCAATACTGTATTCACGATGTGTTATAGGTATTCTTATTTAATATAATATATTTATTGTTATTATGTATTTCAGATTCTAAGTGAGACAAGAGAAATGTGTGCTTCACCGTATACTGGAACTGAAACATCCACAGACACAAGCGATATTTTTATGCCAGAGGAGGATGCACTTGATACAAGTGAAACACAAACATTTCCACAACAACAACAATTTGTATCTGCAGATAATGAGTTCACTTGTCCGAGTACAATCCAGCAGTCAAGAGGAAAAAAACGAAAAAATTTAGCCAATACTGACACAAGAATCGATGAAGCATTTGCGATTTTAAAGAAATCTGCTTCAAACATGGAATTAAATCAACCATCTCCCGACGAGTGTACTACATAATATGGTACATTTATCGGAAATAAACTTCGAAATTACACTCCAAAAACCAAATCATTTGTTCAGTATTACTTCAACAATATACTTTTTGAAGCGGATATGGGAAGATTTGATGGGATGAACGAAAGCAATCAAAGTTCATCTTTACCAACATGTTATGGTAATCTGCCACCAACAACCCATAGTTCAAGTCAAACTTCACCTCATATTATTTTTCAAAATGTACGACAAGAACAACCATCCACATCAAACGCAGTTTTCAATCCAATATTTGAACATACATCAGATGGGTCTTCTCTAGAATCATCATACCTAGGTTAGGTAGCTACTTATTTTCATATTAATGGAAAAGTTTGTATTCGTTGTTTTTATTTTAATTTTGATGAAAAAGTATGTTTTTTATGTTTAAATTTTATGAAAAAGTATAATATTTATGTTTTAATTTTATGAAAAAGTATGTTTTTTATTTTTTAATTTGATGAAAAAGTATGTTTTTTATGTTTATTTAATTAGAATGAATTTTGATTTGAATGAATTTGTTTGAGTTTAATTTAAGTTTGATTATTAATAAAACATTATTATTTATTACCTATGCATTACTTACTTTTACATATTCCTTTAAAACTTCAACGATTGCCATGCAGACTTCAGGAATTATACATGAAATTATTTGTTTTGAAATGCCGAATAAATATTGTAAGCTGCTATATGAATCTCCGGTGGCAAGAAATCTCAGCGTCACAGCTAGCCTAACTGTTACCGAAATAGCTTGACGCATATTCGTATCTTGCTTGATTACTTTTGGCCCGATGACATTAATAATTTTTTCAAAATCAGCTGATGACATTCTTGTAAAATTTTGAAAATGGAAACTGTGTACATCAGACTGCATACTATTTAACAAATTAGCTCCTCTATTTTCACTATCGATGTAAAGTTTTGATCTCCAAAAACGTCTTTTACGTCGAACTTTTTTTTCTTTGATTTTCATAAGTTCATGCATTACAATAAATGCTGCACTTGCAACTTGTAAATGATTACTCATAATTCACCAATAAAATAATAATTAAATAATTGTTATACTTGAAAAATTGCTTTTTGTAATACTTTTTTGTATTTAAACCAAAACACTACGTTTCGATACTAAAGTATGTTAACAACTGTACTCGACTCTGGAATGGGCCCGAACAGCTACGCATAGTATATTTCGTGCGTCGCACATACAATATGTGTCCACACGAACAAACAGAATTCGTCCGAATGCTCATGCGTGCTCGTTCGCGTTCGAGTGAGCACACTTCGAACGTCGCACAATGTTCGCTCGTGAGTACGCACCTTTAGGAAACAAATTGCCATATCCATTAAACAGTATATTTCGGGAAAGCTGAACGTCTTCCGGCAGAGTACCCGCATTGTAACCTACATAAAAATAAAGGGAATAAATCGTTTAATTAATTTTGAATATATCTAAGGGAACGTTTTGACCAGTTAACGTTATCCAAGACATTTATCTTATTGATAATTAATGTGTGTTCTACAAATAATATTTGTGTTATGAATTACTATCTATTGGATAGTAATCCTGTAGTTAAATTAATTTTTAATTTGTTATTCTTTCCATGATATTGTTGTATTATCTATAATAAATATAGTAGATTATTGATAATAATTGAAAGGTACCGTACTAAACTGCAATTAACTTCTATAAGTATTGAGTTCTTTGTTTCTATATTAACTTTTATAGTTCTAATAATTCGTATTCGTAATCGCACTAACGTCGTACCATCGTAAAAAGTACCTAATTAATTAAGATTTTTACATTTTTATAAATTGTATATTTTTAAAATGTCAGACATAAAAAATAAAGAGAAAAGTCGTTCAAAAAATGTTGCTAGTGATGAAGTTAACAGGTTGATAAGTTTGGTCGAGAAATATAAAAAATATCATCGAAAATAAAGAAACTGATTCAGAAACGTGGAAACAAAAGGATAAATGCTGGCAGGTGATACAAAAAGAATTTAGCGTGAATGTGACTAGTGATTTTAGATCGGTAAAAACATTGAAAGATAAGTACAATGGGCTGAAAAAGTGTGCAAGGAAAGAGTATGCTGAAGAACGCAAAGAGTTGTTTAAAACTGGTGGTGGTGAAAAAAGAGTTGTGAAAATTAGTGATATATCACAGAGGATTCATAAATTAATATCAATTTCAATTACTGGTAATCCTAGTGAATTTGATAATGATCAAGGTAACATATTTTATTTTCATTTATTACACTACTTAATTCACATCATTGACATTTAACTAAAATAACATTAATTTAAAATAGATAATAAAATAATAATATTAATAATAATAATAATAATAATAATTAATAACATTATTTGATAATTTATAGATCTTACTACCAGTAATGAAAACGATGATCATGGTTCTGGCTTGGTCGATGTTATTAATTCGGAAAATTCACATCTTGAATATGATAATGAGTGTAATTTTTAGACTTTAGTACCCTAACATAATAGTTACCTCAGTTAATACCAATGTGGGAATGTTAAATGTATTTGTTCACTACAATCATAGACCTACAAAATAATGGACACCACATTCCACATTTCCAATCCGTCCTGCCATCAGTTCTAGGCGATCTATATAAGTGATATAACCATATAACTGAGAGAGAAAAAACACAAAGTAGTGAAGGAGCCCACCTAAGACACTGTAAAAATTGTACTACTTTGTTTCTTTTCTTGCCCACTCTATATTGTACCCTTGACTTCCCTCCCTAAGCACTGTCCATTTGTTTATAGGTCTATGACAACAATGCACTGTCAATACATTTGATTTAATGGTGGGCTTAATATAATATATTGTATTTAATACAATAATACAAATATAGAAAATAATATTATACAAATAAAAATGATAGGGGAAATAACACTGAATGCAGTGTCTAATATGATACATTGGTACATTCAACCAATATTCTATCTACACATAAATAAGTACACACACACAAATAAAGATCATACTCAATATGATGTTCCTAATAAAATGCAATTATATTTATGTTTACATAACATATATAGGTACTTATAGAAGTTTGTTATTCTTATTGTTCTGTTCTTGTTTAAGGTAGTATTGGTTTTTTGTTTGGAATTTTTCCTTTTCCTTTTTTTAAATTAATTTTTTATGGGCTAGTTCATTTTTATTAACTTATAAGCATTGGTTAATGTATCTAATAAAAAGTTGAATGTATTATAATAATTATAATTATAATTATAATTTTTTGTTTAATTAATTAATAATTATTATTAATTAATTAAACAAAAAATTCTCACATTGGTGCAATGTAGTGTTTTAATGATAAATATATTTTACACCAAAGGTGGATATTTAGTTGATTTTATTTTTATGGCAGAGGCTAGCATAATTCAAGGCAGAACTGTACTTAAGTTACTAAATATATTTCCACGGATATACGTACAATTAATTCAATTTGGAAGGCTATTGACATTTCCGGGTGCTTAACCCCAGGAAGGCTCCTCCACCCAATATCCACCTATGATTATACAATATTGCTATTTACTTGTTAATTCATTTTTTAATACACCTATAGCTTTGCATTCTTCCTTTATGCCATCTGATTTAATTGAGCATGATAATTTGGACTTAGCTGATCTTAACCATGTAATTAATGACAATTGCTATTTGTTGTTAATTGTTTCACTTTATTAATGATGAATTTATTTATTGATATTTATTATGTTTGTTGCTATACATAGTTGGTTAATAGTAGTGAAGACGCTGTTGCTATATCTGTGCCAATAACAGATGTGTCAAATGCTTCCTTTGTGAATTAGTCTCCGGCATCCTTAAAAACTCCACGCCATCCTTTATTAGTTCCACCTACAAATCCTTCCAGTTATACTCCTGTTATTAAAAGTAACTTTATATTTGTATTATATTTAAAAATTTTTAAACTATATAATATGAACTTCTAATGAAAGTGTAATCATCATTCTGCTTTTATATGGTAGGTAATGCATGTTCCTATATATGTATATTCCTATTTAATACTTGTATAATAATATACTTTAATTGATTAGAAGTATGAATATTGAAAATGTTAAATGCCAACTGCCAGTTTATAATTTCATTTGCATACTTTTCAAACATAAGGAATTGAACAGATTGATGTAAAGCAGAATAAATTATTCTAAAGTTGCTTCAGACAATTTTAGTTCAAAATTATTAAAGAATTCATTTTTTTTTTTTAAATTAAATATTTTATATAAGACACTTTATTTTTATTTATTAATATTTCTATAATATATAATATTCAAAATTTCCAACAACAACAATTAACTAGGTGCTAAATTCAGTTTTAATTAATATTTTTCATTGATCTGACCGTTGATTATAATATTAGTGAAACATCTGTAATGCAGGTATTTTAAAAAGTCAATAAAATACATAGGTGGGTAATGACTAATGAATATGATTTAAAAGAAATAGCAATTGAATAATAAAAGTATATATATAATATGTAAATGAAAAGTATGTAGGTACCTATTATATTTACATTCCTTAAAAATTAAAATTAAAAATATGACAACTATTTAATAAACTCCTTCAAATTGTTTTTAAATATATATTTATGAACTAAATCTACTTCTGCACAATGGTTTAATTTTTTTGCAGATTCATAATAACTTCATATTATATAATATTATTTAATACTCATGACCCGCGGCAATGTTAGAAATAGATAGGTATAAACTATAAAAGTATAGTTTCATATAAAATATATTATATACAATAAATTACTTAGGTACCTGTTCGTTTTTGACTTTAAATGAAATTCAATTTTAAATAAAAGTTCTTTAACTGTTGTTTTTTTTAGTCTAAATCTCATAAAAAATTCATCATCATCCCACATTTCTAAATCTTCCATTCGATTTCGAAATACTTTTTTTTTTTCGTGGTTTCGGAAAATCTTCAATATTATATTCATCTTCATCAGATATAATATCAAAATTACAAAACATTTTTTAGTTAAAAATTATTATAAGCTTATACACTGAAATTTAAACTAAATATATTTTATATTAAAATACTATATAGTTTGCATAACATCAGTTCATAATATGATAATATTAATCTGACATAGAGATTGATTATCCTCTAGATAAATTACTAGTAGTAAATTCAGTAGTAAAACTGTTTGACAAGTTACCAATGACTTTACCAACAGGTTCAGGGATATCTAGACATTGTAGAACGGTATGAGTCAACTTATCCTATGGATAAATTTAACTAA